TGAGGAAATATGTAGATTAGAGCACCTCATATGGGGTACGGTGAAGGAAATCTCTCTCAACCCCGCTGGCATTTCCGACACAATCCTGGGTCTGTTTAATGGTCTCAAACAGCTCACAAATTACAACGACAAATCGAATACCATGGGGCTTGAAATAGCCCCAGAAACCCAATCGTTTTTCAGACAGCTGGAGCCGCTTTTCCCAGGTTCCGCGTCTAGCAGCGATCCGACGGACAAGACAGGGAATCAAGACCGGCAAGGAGGCCCACAAAACCCCCCTGCCCCCCAACAAAGACCTCTAGAGAACCCTCCCGACCACCCCATGTCGCCGCCCTCGCCAGGAGGTCCAGAGAACCCACCAGACGACCCCATGATGCCGCCTTCGCCAGGAGGTCCAGAGAATCCTCCAGACGACCCCGTGATGCCGCCCTCGCCAGCAGGTCCAGAGAATCCTCCAGACGACCCCATGATGCCGCCCTCGCCAGGAGGTCCAGAGAACCCACCAGACGACCCCATGATGCCGCCCTCGCCAGGAGGTCCAGAGAACCCACAAGACGACCCCATGATGCCGCCCTCGCCAGGAGGTCCAGAAAACCCTCCCACTGCATCAATCCATCGAGCGCCTGCCTCATCACAGCCCTCTCGGCCACCATCTCCTCCCCAACAAACTCAATTGCCATCCCCCACGCGAGCAGATGCGAGAGCCCAACGTGGCTCAAGTGTACAACCACCACGCGACAACAATGACGACGACGACGACGACAACGACTCTCAAGGCGAAGGCGGTGCGAAGGTCGTTCCCACTCGAGGGACAAAAAGAAATCATGCCCACGACGACGAAGAGCCGGCTGGGCCATCCAGAAGCGCCTCTAGACGCCTCTACGGTCCTCTCGCTCTGAAGAAGCTCAGGCATTCAAAGGTATGTCAATAGAACAATAAGAAAAAGCCTTCATCTGACATCAACCATCCCCAACAGCCGCCCTCCGTTGATAGGCCTGTCCGGCCAAAACGGGCTGCGGCGCTCAATGTCCAATATCGCATCAAGACTCCCCCCCCGGCGGCAGAACCGAAGAGGAACACGCGTGATGATGAAAACTTCCCAAAAATAGCTAAGCTGGTAGGCAAGGCTACCGAGATGGTAGGTCCGGAATCGACCACAACGTCCAAGTACTAACTTGATTGAAGCGTTTCTCTCCCCCCGTCTCCCACATCCTCTCTGACACCCGTGGGGCGCCTGTAGAAATACAGCCCTCTTTCCACGTACGTAAAAAATCGGCTTTATTGAACCTATCTCATACCGCTTCCAGTCACAAGATGATCTAAACACCTTCCTTGCCTTAATGAGGGGGATACAGCGCAAGGTGGCGGCATCAGGCCCAGCGGATGGGAACGAGGATGGGGGCCGCGCTCTCATCCAGGTCGTCTCTTATGAAGAATACACGAAGTGGACCCCGTCGATGATTGGGGAGGCTCTCAAGGAGAGGGCCGTATTGGTAAAGGATCTCCCCTCGTGGGGAGCAGACAGCTTTTCAGACGCCATAATGGGTCTGAACCGATGCCTTGATGCAAAGGTTATTGGTAGCGGTACGCGTCATTTCCAAAGAAACACATGCGTATGCTTACGCCCCTCAATAGATCAGTCGGTAGAGATGGGCCCGGAAGGCGGCGAGCGGCATAGGATATGCACGCTTAAGGAAATGATCGACATTGGCAACGACCCAGAGGCAAAGTCGATCAATTGGCTTGACCTCCCGGGCCCCTTGCCAGCGGGGGTGCCGTTGGTGTCGGAAGACAGTCTGGATAGGATCTGCAACTCGGCAATGTGGTCCTATCCAAACGCACGAACGGCGCCAGACATGGTGGCTTTGACATGGACCATCGCCGCAACGCCTTGGACCTGGCACCACCTACATGTCGACACCAACGGCTTCGGATCCATTGTGGTTCCCAAATACGGGCGAAAGCTGTGGGCGGTACTCCGTAGAAAGGAGGATCCTTTCGGGTCGAGGCCCATCGATTGGCAAACATCGCCATATATGCTGGACGACGCCGTCCTAGACTCAGGGAAATACGAAATTGACTACGCGATCCTGGAGCCCGGAACAGCCCTGTAAGTCCTGCATAAAATTCTTAGTGGGCCTTTGCTAACTGGTTGACAAGCGTTATGCCTGGAGGCTGCCCCCACATGGTGGTCACTCTTGATGAGTCCACCGTGTTCATGGGCAGCCACTTTTACCAAGGCCGTTCAATTCGCCGCCATATGTTCTCTCTGGTACTCACAGAGGCTATCCGACTCTCAACGAACACGGAGCACAGGGAGTGCGTGGTAACCATCATCGGAAATGTGATCCAGATGGTTTCCAAGGCGTGTATGAACCCCGAGGTAATACCTGGTAAGTCTCTCACCACAGCATGCAACCATGCCCTCATCGTTCTTACATAAACAGAGAAAATGTGGGAACATCTGCCGGATGTCAAATCAACGGAGGGCATGAAGGATGTCCTCGTGGTGTGTGTGGTAGCTAGACTGCTACCTGCGTTATTCCCCATGACGGGCCACTGGGGAAATGAAACCAGGAGGGTCTCGGAGATGGCCCGCACGTTGATCAGGGATATAAGGGCTTCTTTCGAGTATTCCTTCACCACCTCGACCGGTCGACCCCTCGATTTCTACGCAGATATTTACGAGGTATACATACAGCAGGTATGCCGCGTCTATATACGCTTGCTGGGTCAATACGGGGATATAGGGCCGGCTCAGGACGCATTGCGGGAACTACGGGAATGCGACGGGTATGACTCGGGGTTCGTCCCAGGTCTGAGGCCCCACGGAGCCACTATGTCCACTGGACTTGATCTTTCGGACGAACGGCTTGATCTGAGCGTAGAATACATGACCCACTTCGAACTGGTGGTAGAGGAGTAATTGTTTTTTTTTATATCTGTAAATTTATGCATGTTTTTATTTCCAGTATATACTACTCTTGTTATGCAAAACTATGTTGGGATTCAGAGAAAGGATGAGCACTCGGATGGAAATACAGCATCTGGCAGTCCTGGACGGTCAAGTTAGCAAGTTAGGCGTGCGTATCCTCAAGGTGTGGTAGTGGACGCGGGTGGCAATACCCTGCGTGTAGAACGACACTAGCTACGTACAGAGTGTCGTTCCTGGACGGTCAAATTAGGCGTGCGTATATCCTCAAGGTGTGGTAGTGGACGCGGGTGGCAATATCCTGTAGAACGACACGAGCTACCTACAGAGTGTCGTTCCTGGACGGTCAAATTAGGCGTGCGTATATCCTCAAGGTGTGGCAGTGGACGCGGGTGGCAATACCCTGCGTGTAGAACGACACTAGCTACGTACAGAGTGTCGTTCCTGGACGGTCAAATTAGGCGTGCGTATATCCTCAAGGTGTGGTAGTGGACGCGGGTGGCAATATCCTGTAGAACGACACGAGCTACCTACAGAGTGTCGTTCCTGGACGGTCAAATTAGGCGTGCGTATATCCTCAAGGTGTGGCAGTGGACGCGGGTGGCAATACCCTGCGTGTAGAACGACACTAGCTACGTACAGAGTGTCGTTCCTGGACGGTCAAATTAGGCGTGCGTATATCCTCAAGGTGTGGTAGTGGACGCGGGTGGCAATATCCTGTAGAACGACACGACACGAGCTACCTACAGAGTGTCGTTCCTGGACGGTCAAATTAGGCGTGCGTATATCCTCAAGGTGTGGCAGTGGACGCGGGTGGCAATACCCTGCGTGTAGAACGACACTAGCTACGTACAGAGTGTCGTTCCTGGACGGTCAAATTAGGCGTGCATATATCCTCAAGGTGTGGCAGTGGACGCGGGTGGCAATATCCTGTAGAACGACACGAGCTACCTACAGAGTGTCGTTTCTGAACCTACAGAGCGTCGTGCCTGGATGGACATCGAAGTGCTGGAGCCATGGGTGTCTACGTAGGGATGAGCGCTAATGTCACATGACAATGAATGCCTGACGACTACGGTTTTTCCATAGGGTTAGCGCCCGTGTCACGTGACATTGACGACAGGAGAACCCCTCAACATGGGCCGAACTCAAGCCGGCCAAGGCGAAGTATGTAAGTACGTAGAAGTAGGAGATCTATGCAGTATGTGGAATCAATGTCATATATTTTTGGCAAAATCAATTGTATCGATGTGGAGAGAGGGGTAAGCGATATGTTAGAATTCGCGTCCACCTGCTTTTGTGCGAGGGCACCTTTTGCCACATCCGGCTTGATCATCGCTGTCCTAGGGAGAAAAACGGTTTTTGAAGCGGAACTATGCACTATCATGTTCTTCCATATGTTGCCCGCAATCGTGGACCAAATTCTTATTCTCCAATAAGGGAATTTCGCATCCACCTTCCCAAAGAGGGAATTCCCTAACCACCCTTATTTGACCTGTAGAGATCATCCGGGGTCCTAGCACGTGGCTCAAGGGCAGTCAATCCTTCGGCCCCCCAGTGACCCCGGGAGTTTTTTCAACCACCATGTGCTCACACGGAGTGTCGATGTCGGAGGCGGAAGGAGATCAGCTGTGGCCAGAATTACCCAGGCACGTTGCGAATGCCTACCTATCCCATGAATCTCTAGTCTGTAGGGATTTGAATGGCAGATCCAGAAGCCTCCGCGCCGCTCGCTGCCTCAGACTATTGCTGCACCCTATACGACCCCTGTGCGTCTTCCACGTGAATGGCTTGCAGAAGCGATTGCGGCTCCCATTACTACGAAGTTTACTTCACCGCCTCCGAGTAGCTAGCCTGCGCAGGCGATTGCAATGGTCATTACGACATGACCGCGACGCGCTTCATAAAGTTCTCCTGTCCACACACCACGCCTCCGTTTACCTCTATCCTCTGGACCAGTCGTTTCTCCCGAGGCACATCTCCCTCGCTCATGGCCGACGGGTGAAAATTGGACGTCAGGTTAATACAAAATCTGCTGTCAGCGCCCTGAACGGCTACTTCGACTCGTATGCACTCAGCAAGAACCATGCGGAAATCTGGGAAGAAGCGGGACAGGTAAGTACATCCTATCGTGCCTCTTTTGACAGCGTGGCTCACATTCCAGCAGATATTCATCAGAGACGTGGAGAGCTTGCACGGGACGTTTATCAACGGGGAACGAATCAGTCCAGCGCGTGCAGTGTCTGAAAAAATGCGAACTCCGGAACAATGATATAGTGGTAAGTACCTCTTGACGTTGTAGCGTGTCTAAGGTCCTCTCGTTCACAGCAATTCGGTGTCGATTTTGTGGACGAGAACGACGAGTATCACCATAAGATCGCTGCCAGGGTTTTCTGCATCTTCAAGAGTGAAGATATGCAGGTTGCCCTCCGCTCCTACAATGAAAATCCGCAGGATGCTGTCCCGCCCGACGACGAAGGTTTGCAGGCTCCTCTCCACCCCGACAACGCAGATTTGCAGGGTTCCCTCCCCTCCGAAGATGCTGCCGTCTCACCTGGAGTTGGCCCATCACCTGCCAGCACTGAGGATGTTCGTCCTTTGAAATCCGAAACCGATTTCGTCAGCTCCGAGGATATTGACCCTTTCAAATCCGAAGCCGATTTCGTCAGCTCCGAGGCTGAGAAGAGTTTCTTCGACTTTTCCAGCAATGATTGCGATGGCGATGATAACGAAGGCTTCCTGGACGGTCAAATTAGGCCGTGCGTATATCCTCAAGGTGTGGTAGTGGACGCGGGTGGCAATATCCTGTAGAACGACACGAGCTACCTACAGAGTGTCGTTCCTGGACGGTCAAATTAGGCGGCGTTATATCCTCAAGGTGTGGCAGTGGACGCGGGTGGCAATACCCTGCGTGTAGAACGACACTAGCTACGTACAGAGTGTCGTTCCTGGACGGTCAAATTAGGCGTGCGTATATCCTCAAGGTGTGGTAGTGGACGCGGGTGGCAATATCCTGTAGAACGACACGAGCTACCTACAGAGTGTCGTTCCTGGACGGTCAAATTAGGCCGTGCGTATATCCTCAAGGTGTGGCAGTGGACGCGGGTGGCAATACCCTGCGTGTAGAACGACACTAGCTACGTACAGAGTGTCGTTTCCTGGGACGGTCAAATTAGGCGTGCGTATATCCTCAAGGTGTGGTAGTGGACGCGGGTGGCAATATCCTGTAGAACGACACGAGCTACCTACAGAGTGTCGTTCCTGGACGGTCAAATTAGGCGTGCGTATATCCTCAAGGTGTGGCAGTGGACGCGGGTGGCAATACCCTGCGTGTAGAACGACACTAGCTACGTACAGAGTGTCGTTCCTGGACGGTCAAATTAGGCGTGCATATATCCTCAAGGTGTGGCAGTGGACGCGGGTGGCAATATCCTGTAGAACGACACGAGCTACCTACAGAGTGTCGTTTCTGAACCTACAGAGCGTCGTGCCTGGATGGACATCGAAGTGCTGGAGCCATGGGTGTCTACGTAGGGATGAGCGCTAATGTCACATGACAATGAATGCCTGACGACTACGGTTTTTCCATAGGGTTAGCGCCCGTGTCACGTGACATTGACGACAGGAGAACCCCTCAACATGGGCCGAACTCAAGCCGGCCAAGGCGAAGTATGTAAGTACGTAGAAGTAGGAGATCTATGCAGTATGTGGAATCAATGTCATATATTTTTGGCAAAATCAATTGTATCGATGTGGAGAGAGGGGTAAGCGATATGTTAGAATTCGCGTCCACCTGCTTTTGTGCGAGGGCACCTTTTGCCACATCCGGCTTGATCATCGCTGTCCTAGGGAGAAAACGGTTTTTGAAGCGGAACTATGCACTATCATGTTCTTCCATATGTTGCCCGCAATCGTGGACCAAATTCTTATTCTCCAATAAGGGAATTTCGCATCCACCTTCCCAAAGAGGGAATTCCCTAACCACCCTTATTTGACCTGTAGAGATCATCCGGGGTCCTAGCACGTGGCTCAAGGGCAGTCAATCCTTCGGCCCCCCAGTGACCCCGGGAGTTTTTCAACCACCATGTGCTCACACGGAGTGTCGATGTCGGAGGCGGAAGGAGATCAGCTGTGGCCAGAATTACCCAGGCACGTTGCGAATGCCTACCTATCCCATGAATCTCTAGTCTGTAGGGATTTGAATGGCAGATCCAGAAGCCTCCGCGCCGCTCGCTGCCTCAGACTATTGCTGCACCCTATACGACCCCTGTGCGTCTTCCACGTGAATGGCTTGCAGAAGCGATTGCGGCTCCCATTACTACGAAGTTTACTTCACCGCCTCCGAGTAGCTAGCCTGCGCAGGCGATTGCAATGGTCATTACGACATGACCGCGACGCGCTTCATAAAGTTCTCCTGTCCACACACCACGCCTCCGTTTACCTCTATCCTCTGGACCAGTCGTTTCTCCCGAGGCACATCTCCCTCGCTCATGGCCGACGGGTGAAAATTGGACGTCAGGTTAATACAAAATCTGCTGTCAGCGCCCTGAACGGCTACTTCGACTCGTATGCACTCAGCAAGAACCATGCGGAAATCTGGGAAGAAGCGGGACAGGTAAGTACATCCTATCGTGCCTCTTTTGACAGCGTGGCTCACATTCCAGCAGATATTCATCAGAGACGTGGAGAGCTTGCACGGGACGTTTATCAACGGGGAACGAATCAGTCCAGCGCGTGCAGTGTCTGAAAAATGCGAACTCCGGAACAATGATATAGTGGTAAGTACCTCTTGACGTTGTAGCGTGTCTAAGGTCCTCTCGTTCACAGCAATTCGGTGTCGATTTTGTGGACGAGAACGACGAGTATCACCATAAGATCGCTGCCAGGGTTTTCTGCATCTTCAAGAGTGAAGATATGCAGGTTGCCCTCCGCTCCTACAATGAAAATCCGCAGGATGCTGTCCCGCCCGACGACGAAGGTTTGCAGGCTCCTCTCCACCCCGACAACGCAGATTTGCAGGGTTCCCTCCCCTCCGAAGATGCTGCCGTCTCACCTGGAGTTGGCCCATCACCTGCCAGCACTGAGGATGTTCGTCCTTTGAAATCCGAAACCGATTTCGTCAGCTCCGAGGATATTGACCCTTTCAAATCCGAAGCCGATTTCGTCAGCTCCGAGGCTGAGAAGAGTTTCTTCGACTTTTCCAGCAATGATTGCGATGGCGATGATAACGAAGGAGGTGAAAGCCATGCTACAATGGGATTGGCCGAGTTAGGTGGGATGGGTGGGGGCCTCCGGGAACCAGGCACGAGTGGACTAATCCTGGAGGACTTCTTAAAACCGCATCAAGGCAAGATGAAAGCTCACAACAGCTCTGTTCAACCCCACCGAGGCGAGTGCAATATAACACCTGCTCTCTCTGAGTTGCGAGCACTACTGGGGGAAATCCAAGAAGGCGTGGCCTCGCAGGGAGACAGGGTTGGGAAATTCGAGAGGCTACTTAAGGGGCAAGAAGGGATGAAGCAGGAGATTGCGGAGTTGCGAGCAATGGTTGGATTGAAGGGACATGCGTCGGAGACTGAAGCAGAAGGCGATGATGATGAGGACGAGGAGGATGAGGCAGGTAGCACGATGACAGTGGTTCCCCGCAGAAATGCAAAAGCTGGTGAAGAGAGGGGGGAAGGTGGACCTGGGCGACTTGCGACAAGTCAGAAAGAGGGGAAGAAAGCTCGAGACAGGCAAGAGGCAGCAATTGTTCGTGCTGATCGGTGCCAAGCGTGGGCGGAGGGGCAAAGTGGGATGTTAATGAAGCTAGCGCGATGGGAAGATTAGGATATGTATATATTACATTGTTGTATCTTGCGTAGCATGTGTTGAAGTTGTTTTTTGTCGGTGTGTTTTGGTCTTGGACATTATATTACATTGTTGTATATTGCAAGTCTTAGGGTTATGGGATTGTTTTTCATATTTCCTAGGGAATTTTTAGGGATGGAATTTTTTCCCTATCTATATTATCCGACGGATTACAGGGTGTAATCGGTCGACCTTCTCCGTTCGCGGCGCAACAACTTCACACACCTCCGTTAGGGTGTTCTGATGAAGAATCACCTTGTCGCGCCGAGTTGCGCCGCTTCCCCACGCTCCAGTGCCCCCTTCTTCGTCGAGAATCTCGCTGAGCGCAGCGAAGCAACCGTCGCTCCCCGACCCAGGGTTAGGTGACGAAATATGTCCGGGCATGTTAGGAGAGTATACTGATAAAATTCCTACGGAGATAGCTGCCCTCCTCCTCGTGCTGTAGCTCAAATACCGTTTCGGTACGAGGAGAAGAGGGTGCCAACGGCCAGGATGTTGGCGCGACTCGGCGCAACAAGTACCCATCTCTAGGTATACCCTCAAGGTATATGGGACAACTTGTTGCGCCGTGTTGCGCCGCTTCCTCATCATCCAGCAGCACGTTTACTACCTGCAAAACTACCATACTGGCCCCAGCCACTTCAAACAGTGGCGCAACTCGGCGCAACAGCTCCCCAAACCTCCCCATATATATCCCCCAGGACTGGGTCGTTGTTGCGCCGAGTTGCGCCACCATCTGAGGAAGCTGTGGAATTATCTTTGTGTTTTATTTAATGTGCCCCTGTTCCCTCTTTCCCCTGACCTGCCTATTCAGGCAGCTGAGTGTTCGCATTTTCTCACAGTTACAATACATCACAACTCCGACCTCACTACTAAATTAGTTTCTCACAGTCAGTAGCCCACATTAGGGACTTCAAATTCCGCTCTAATGACACTTTTTGTAATGAAACATGGTCAGAACCTGCTCCAATTGCTTAGGTATATAGAGGAATGTTGTTCAGAATAATAAAAAGCATAAGATGCAAAAGCTCCGAAGTAGTTAGGGCCATTTTAAGACAGTCAAAAGCTGGAAAAATGCGAACTTAAACAGCAAATACAGGGTTAGTGACTCAGGATTTGATTTTCATGACTTGCTTGAGGGTAGAAAAGTGTTCAGAATGCGAAATTACATGAGATACAATTGACAGTATATAGCTAGCATATTTGATGGACAAGCTACAGTCTCCAAAATGCGAAATTAGCAGGAAGAATGAGCTGTACTGCCTCAGGATTTGATTTACAGGTCTTGTTTGAGTGGACAAAGTTGTTCAGAATGTAAAGAAACATAAATCCGATGTGGGGGGCAATTTGTAGCAGCAGATATTGCCATTTAAATTGAGCAAAAATGCGAAGTACAGCCAGAAGGTGACTCCTAGCCCCCCTAGATCATGTGCTTACAGAAAACCTCTGAAGTATTCTGTAAGCACATGACCCAGGGGAGCTAGGGGACATTCCCACAGGCAAAGAACAACAAAATTCGCTCAGAGGGCCTTTTTTTTGTGAGTACAAGGGCAGGACTTGTCCCAATTACTTAGGTATATAGAGGAAAGTTGCTCAGAATGATAAAATACATAAAATGCAAGAACTCCGAAGTAGTTAGGGCCATTTTAAAGCAGTCAAGAAGGGCAAAAATGCGAACTTAAGTAGCAAATAGTGGGCTACTGACTTAGGGATTGACTTTCATGACTTGCTTGAGTGACCAAAAGTGTTCAGAATGCGAAATTACATAGGATACAATTGACAGTATATACCTAGCATATTTTAAGGACAAGCTACAGTCTCCAAAATGCGAAATTAGCAGGAAGAATGAGCTGTACTGCCTCAGGATTTGATTTTCATGGCTTGCTTGAGTGGACAAAGTTGTTCAGAATGTAAAAGAACATAAATCCGATGTGGGGCACAATTTGTAGCAGCAGATATTG